TAGAATCACCACAGCAAAACTATGAAGCCTTTTAAAGTTCTGCCACTCACTGCCAAACTGCTTTCCAGAAGGAGCCAATTACCCCGGCAGTGTGATCGGTGGCTGGCACTGCCAAGGCAAACTCCAGCGGCAAAACCAGAGTAGCCTTCGCGGTTCCCGAGGTCTGCCCCTCTCTGACGGTTGCCAGCCTGATGTGAGGCCAGAACCAGTGTGAGGACCTCACATGCCAGGCTGCCCGAGCACTGGCTTGGGGAGGTCTCAGAGCCCGTCCAGTCCGTCCCACACAGGAAGGCCAGGCCTGCTCCATGGTGCAGCTGAGGGCCTCTGTGACTCTGTGACTGCACTTGAGTCCGCTGGTGACTCACCCCTACCTCCGCCCCGTGCTGCCCCACTGTGCTCAGCACCCTCTCTGGCTGTTACTCTAGGTAGAATTACGGGAATCTCCCAGGCTTCTCGAGACAGACAGTGGCCAAGCCTCTGCCTCAGCCCTGTGGCATGTGCCCCGATTGTGCACCTTGCTTGTGGAACTTGGTGGTGGCAGACAGATGATGGACATTGAGGGATATCCCTTCTAGGGGAATCACTGGAGTCACCTACGCAGATGTGAGGGGAAAGGCAGTGCCTGGTGAACTGGCTGCTCGACCTGAGCCTCAGTTTTGCCATCTGCAAATGGGCCAACAGCAGTCCCCCGCCACATGGCAGGAGAGGGCCGCCGTGGTTCCGTGTCTTACGCGCCCTCATGCGTCCCCTCTCGTCCTCCGCCATTCATCCCAGCACAGCCCGCCTCGTCACTACGTCATGTGAACTGTCTCTCTCCACCTTGCTCCCAGGATTGCCCTTGCAGTGTTCCTGGCCATCTCTGCCGTGATCACTCTTGGCTTTGCCTCTGGATTTCACTGTTTCCTGGATTTGCACCCCAGTCCCCCACTCTCCTGGTGGTGACTGCGCTGTCCCAGGTGACATCAGGCATTGCAGCGGTGCTTCGTGACCTTGCTCTCAGACAGTGGGTTCTGGCCTCCACCTTGAACACCCACCCACCCTACCCCACCTGGCTCCTTCTTTGCCATGGCCTGGGGTCATTCCACCGAGCTCCTCTGCCCTCTGCCGGTGTGGGCACGGGCTCAGGGTTGTCACGGAGTAGAGCCCACAGCCACTCTATCCCGCGACGGCTCCAGCTCTCCCAGACCTGCTGATCCTCTGTTCCATGGTGAGGGTGCTGCTGGGAATCCTCCAGGGCCCCTCCAGCCCTCCTCTGGGCTGGCCCCCGGTGCCCAGCCCAGAGGAGGGCAGGACGTGGCTAGCACATCAGTGAAGGCCCTGCTGTGTGGGGAGTCACCTGTGCTGGCTGGCAATTCCGATGCACTCTGTTCCCACATCCCCCAGTCACCCTTCCCACCAGCAGGCAAGTGTCAGCCCCTTCCGTCAGTGGGGTCTCGTCCAAGGGCTGTGTGGTGCTCTAGCCTCGGTGGCCAGGAGGGCTGTGCTTCCCTTCCTGCAGTGCAGTCAGTGGCACAGCCTCCAGTGCCGGCATTGGGCTGTGGGGGTCAGTCCTGGGCTGGACTTCCCACGGGGAGGGGATACTAGTGAGGACACGGAAGCCACGAGCATAGCACGTGGCCTGGGCCAGCACGTGGCCTGGGCCAACGGAGCCCTCAGTGGCTGGCCCTACTCTGGAGCTGTTCTGGGGGCTCAGGGGACATAGGCAGCCTTCGGGTGGAAGGCTGGGCTGCCGGACTGCAGGGGCTCCCCAGCGGACCTGCCGTGGGCTGGGGGGATGGGGTGACAGGTCTGGGACTGGGGTGGCCTGGCCTTGCTCCAGTGCCTGTGACCCTGGGCAGCAGGTGCCTCCCCTCGGGTCTCTCCCCACTCACTGAGTGCTCATACAGCTGCCGTTTCCACCAGGCTGCCTGGGACCAGGTGGCAGGTGCCTGCTAGGCTGCCGCAGCCATTAGTCCCTGAAGCAGGCGTCCTGAGGCTCTGCAGGGAGCACGGAGACCTTCCGCCCACTTCATGCCCCTGGCAGGAAACACAGGAATGATTGAGTGGTTTAAAAATAGAGGAGGACTTGGAATTCATTAGACTCTTGAAAAACAGATTAGATGTAATGACTGTCATTAAGTCAATCATTTGTAAGTGACGGGACCTCCTAGGCTGACACGGTGAGTCGGGACAAGACCAGGGCTGGTCTACTGCGCAGGCCTGGGTGAGAGGGCAGGGCTGTGTTCTTGCTCTCACCAGCCCCGGGCACACAACCTCAGCAAGCTCGGTGATGCCGACATCACCAGAACACCGTGGGGGACAGTGACCGCCCTGCAGGGCCCTGAGTGGCGCCCTGGATGTCGGAGGCACACAGGCTAGCGATGCCCTGGGATGAGGTGCCACCCTTCCTGCAGAGGGGCCTCCTCCCCATGCACAGCTGGTCTGGAGCTGGAGAGAATGCCCGGCCTGCTATGCTCTCAGGGATGCCTGGCTGAGGGGATGATAATGACTGCAGTCCCCCACACGCCCCCACGACCCCACCCACGGCCCACCCGTACAGACCTCTGTTCCGTGGTGACCACACCTTCTCCTCCAACCTCCTGACCGCACCCTGGACCTCTTGTGACACCCCCCACCCTGCTCTTTCCCCACCATCACCACGGACCTCAAAGGCACCTCCCTCAGGCAGCCACGACTACATGGAAGGAGCCCCTATCATCCTCTCTCTCTCACCTCCCCACCTGGTCCTCTGGCCAGTGCTGGGAAGAAACTGGAATTTTTTCATGAAGTGAAGCATGCCAGTGAGGCAGCTGCTTTTGTGAGAACAATCAGGGGAGGCCTCCTGCAGGCGATGACATTTGCTGAGGCCTGAGTGAAGGGAAGGGGCTGGAGGAAAGGTGCCCAGGTGGCAGGACCTGTGAGGGCCGAGGTGCTGGGAAGGGGAGGGGACAGGGAGCAGGGCAGAAGGCGGTCGGGTGGGGCTGGGAATCTCAGAGAGCTTTGTGGGCAGCGTGGGTAGGAAAGAGTTTTCTGAGAGAAGGAACGGCATCAGAGGCGGTAACGTCAGCATGGTGGTGAGGTGGTCTGATGGTTTAAAAATTGTTGTAAATGCCGGGTGCGGTGGCTCACGCCTGGAATCCCAGCACTTTTGAAGGCCAAGGCAGGTGGATCACTTGAAGTCAGGAGTTCAAGACCAGTCTGACCAACATGGTGAAACCCCATCCCTACTAAAGAAAACCCACAAAAATGAGCTGGGCATCATGGCAGGCGCCTGTAATCCCAGCCACTCAGGAGGTTGAGGCAGGAGAATCACTTGAACCTGGGAGGCGGAGGTTGCAGTGAGCTGAGATGGCGCCACTGCACTCCACCCTGGGCAATAAAGTGACACTCCATCTCAAAAATTTAAAAAAATGTTGTACATGGCTTTATTGAAGTATGATTGGCATATGATGAACAGCAGCACGTGAGAGTTTGATTCCTCCACATCCTTGCTGATGCTTGGTATTGTGGGCTTTTTAGCCATCCAGATAGGTGTGAAGTGCTACTTCATTGTAGTTTTAATTTGCATTCCCTTAAGGAATAATAATGTTGAAAATCTTTTTTTTTTTTTTAAGAGGCAGGGTCTTGTTATGTTGCCCAGGCTGGCCTTGAACTCCTGGGCTCAAGCAATTCCTCCTACTTCACGTCAGCCTCCCGAGTAGCTGGAACTACAGGCATGCCGCCTCATTGCCTGAGCATCTCTTCATGTGCTGTTTGTCATTGGTTGTTTCTTGAAGCGTCTGTTGACATCTTTTGCTGTTTCTTTCACTTGGGTTGTTTTTCCATACTGAGTATGAGAGTTCTTTATGTATTCTGGATACAAGTCTGTTATGTGATTTTCAAATATTTTCTCCCAATCTATGGCTTGTGTTTTCATTCTAACAGTATCTTTTGAAGAGCAAAAGTTTTTAATCTTGAGGAAGTACAATTTATCAATTCTTTTCTTTTCTGACTTGTGATTTTGGTGTGGTAAATAAGACTTATTTTCATAACCCAAAGTCACAAAGATTTTTTCCATGTTTTCTTCTGAAAGTCTTATACTTCAGGTTTTACATTTAGATCTATACAGTGTTTCACTTGGAGTTAATTCATGTATATGGTATGAGGCATGGATCAAAGTTTTGTTTTGTTTTACATAAGGAAAGTCAATTATTCCAGAGTTATTTGTTGGGAAAGATTATTTCTTTTCCACTAAATTGCCTTTGCATTTTTGTCTTCAGCTGACCACATGGGGTGGGTTCACTTCTGAACTCTCCAGTCTGTTCCATTGATCTATTTGCCTGTATTGACACCAATGCTGCAAGGTCCTAAATATGGTAGCTTTATGATGAGCCTTAATTGGAGGTACAAATGCTCAGCTTTATCTTCTTTTGCATTGTTGTTTTGGCTATTCTGTCTCCTTTCTGTTTCCATATGAAGTTTAGGGTTGTCAACTTTTGCCAAAAAAAGCCTGCTGGGATTTTGATTGGGATTATGTAGAATCCATATCAATTTGGAAAGAATTAGCATCTTAATAATACTTCTGGTTCATGAACATAGTATATCTCTTTATTTATTTAGGCCTTTAATTTCTCTCAGCAAAGTTTTAGAGTTTTTAATTGTACAGGTCTTACACATCTTTTGTCAGCTTAATCCTCAAGTATTTTATGTTTTGTGTTGCCATTGTAAATTCGTTTGTTTTGCAATTTTAATTTGTAATTGTTCATTGGTAATATATATGGATAAAACTGATTTTTATAGATTGATCTTCTAGAAGATTAATCTTCTAGATTTATCTTGCTGAACTGACTTTATTAGTTACATTTTTTTTCAAATATTTTATCAGTTTTCCTACATAGATGATCTTATCATCTGATAAGAAAAACCGTTTTGCTTGTTTTCAACTCTATGTCCTATATTTCTTTTTCTTGTGTTTTTTCTCTTTTTTTCTTTCTTCTTTTCTCAGATGCCCTGTGATAATTTCATTATTTATTTATTTATTGAGACAGTCTCACTCTGTCACCAGGCTGGAATGCAGTGGTGTGATCTCGGCTCACTGCAACCTCTGACTCCCTGGTTCAAGGGATTCTCCTGCCTCAGCCTCCAAAGTAACTGGGATTACAGGCTGTACCACCACACCCAGCTAATTTTTGTATGTTTAGTAGAGATGGACCTTCACCATGTTGGCCAGGATGGTCTCGATCTCCTGACCTCATGATCTGCCTGCCTCAGCTTCCCAAAGTGCTGGGATTACAGTTGTAAGCCACCGTGCCTAACCTTTCTTGTATTTTTTTAACCAGCCAGAACCTACAGTATAACATTGAATGCAAACAATGAAACAGGCTGATTCTGCCTTATTCCCAAGCATTCAGTATCTACTGTTAAGTGTGATTTGATTGTAGGGTTTTCACAGGTGCCCTTCATCTTCTAAAATAAAAAAGTTCTCTCCCATTCCTGATTTGCCGAAAGGTTTGTTTTTGTTGTTTTTTTTTATCAAGAACAGATGTTGGATTTTGTCAAATGCTTTTTCTGCGTTCTTTGACATAATCACACGGTTTTCCTGTTTTAGCCTGTTCATGTGATAAATCACACTGATTGATGTTCAGCTGTTCGGCCAGCCTTGCAGTCCTGGGGTCAACGGTACATGGTCATGGGGTATTATCCCTTGGATATACCGTTGTCCTTGATTTGCTAAATTTCAGTAGGATTTTGAGTGTCTGAGAGGACTGACTGTCAGGTGGCTGTCTTCTCTTCTTGTCATTGCCTTTTTCTGGTGCAGGATCACGGCTGTCTGGGATGAGTTGGGGAGCATCCACCTCTTCAGGTTGTGGAAGAGCTTGCATAGAACTGGCATTATTTCTGTCTGGAATGTGAGATAGACTTCACCATGAAGCCATCTGGGCCTGGAGTTTTCCTTGTGGGAAGACTTTTAACTATAAAATTGATGTGTTTTCTAGCAGACTGTCTGTTAGTTATCATCTTATTCTGTGAGTGGAGTTTCTTTGCTGCAGCATCGAATGATCCATCGTCCCTGCTCCCCCAGAATGGCAGCCCCCTACACCTGCCAATGCCCACTCCACCCCCCACATGCCTGGCAGAGGAAACGAACCCTGACCTCCCCTCCAAGGCAGTGACTTGTTATCAGGCCCTGGGTGACCTGACCCGGCCCTTGCCACAGACTTGCCCCTGCAGTTGGCTTCGCTTGTCCCTGCAAAACCAGAGGACCTGCTTCTAGACCCCTTATGCCCTGCTGCCTCCTGTTCCTGTCTGCCCGTCAGGCCAGTGTTGCCCTAGGCTGTGGCCTCCCTCCCTGTCCCTGTGGCATGGAGCCACTATCACTGTCACATGGCTGCCCTGACGAAGCTGTAGGGCGCTTTACCGGCCTGGCCTCCTGGAGTCCCACAGCCACCCCCCAGGCAGGCATCTCCATGTCTGTGGCATTGCTGTTGGCCTCATGGCTGGGGCCACCCTTCCAACCCAGCTCTCCAGCCACCTGCAGGACCCATTCCAGGGTTCAGCCTGTGCTTCTCAGGCTCTGTAGCATGGCGTCCTCCCAGTGCCCCATGGTGTGTCCCAGAGCACCTGGATATGACTGAGGAGCCTGGCTGGGAGACGTGCTGGCCATAGGCCAGGTGAAAAGAGGTGGCACTGAGGGCTGGATAGCAGCAAGGCCTGGGAGGACACACCAGAGCCCAGCCCGCTGGGGCACTCACGTCCCTGGCTCTCCCTGCAGCCCAGCCCCTCCGCTCCTCACCCCGGCTCCTTGGCCCAGTTCAGCCCCACTGACTGGCAGGTGGCTGTCCAGCCTCAGCCTCAGCCACCTAGGGCACAGACGCTGGGGCCCACCCAGGCAGGTGATATCCTCTGCCAGGCATGAGGGAGGTGTGGGGGGCTGCCATTCTGGGGGGCTCCAGGAGAAGAAGCTGGACAGAGTCCAGGCCTGTAGAGCTGTCCCTTGAGGTGTGGCTCTCAGCTCCTGCTCTCCCCACCCCAGGGCCCCCAGCTCTGTCCCTCAGGACAGTTCTCAGTGAAGCACACAGCAGGGTCTTAGGTGAGGGGCGATGGGACCCCAGGCCACTTCTGGCCCTACTGCCTGCTCCTGGCAGCCTGAGGGAGCCACAGTCACGGGTGGGAGTGGGGCTTTGGCTGGAGCGGAGCCTGCTCAGTAAGCATTAGCCCTCCTCCCTGACCTGAAACCTGAGGAGGTGAGAAGGCGCCAGCCTCCCGCTCCCCATGGCTCCGGGACGTGTCCTCCAGGGGCTGTTCTTCCTCCACCCTGCGGGACCTGGAAAGTTCCAGGGGAACAGCCTCCTTGGAAGCAGACATCCCTTCCCACCTTCACGGAGGCAAAAGCAAGAGGAAGCGGGTTCGACCACGTGCAGCGTGACAGCCAGGAGCCCATGACGCATCCTCAGCTGCCTTCACTCGCCGCCCTGAGACCCGCCAGTTGTGGGGGCTTCTGTTAGGAGAGCTTTTTAAAGCGGCGGCGGAAGCTCAGAAAACGCCTGCAAGGTGTGAGACTGGGAGGGTGGCAGGAACCCCTCCTGCTGCTGCGCCGGAAGCAGGGCCTCTCTCATCTGCATTTGCCCATTTTCAGGGTACACGTGTATTGCTTCCGTAATGACGAAGAAAAATAGAAAGAATAGCTTCCCAGACCATAATAACAGTGGGATCTTTTCTTTTTTTTTTTTTTTTTTTGGAGAAGGGTCTTGTTTTTTCTCACCAGCCACCAGGCTGGGGGGCGGGGGTGTGATCTCGGCGCACTCCAACCTCCGCCTCCTGGGTTCAGGCAGTTCTCCTGCCTCAGCCTCCCAGAGTAGCTGGCACTACAGGCGCGTGCCACCACACCCAGCTAATTTTTGTATTTTAGTTGAGACAGGGTTTCACCATGTTGGCCAGGATGGTCTCGATCTCTTGACCTTGTGATCCGCCCACCTCGGCCTCCCAAAGTGCTGGGATTACAGGCGTGAGCCACCATGCCCAGCTAGTGGGATCTTTTTAAGAGCTGGGCCGTGTCTAGGCCTGTGTCCCCAGAGCCCAGATCTTGGCCAGATGGGGCCAGCCCCAGCCCGCACCCCTTCCCACGACTGCCTGGCTTGTGCTTGGACTTAATGGGGGCAGCAAAGGGCCAAGTGAGCCCCCCAAGGCGATGCCCAGCCCTGGCCCAGCCCTGGCCCGGCCCCTGCCCCGAGGCAGGAGAGGGGTGAGGCTGGCCTGGAGGAGCTGACTTCTTGAAGGACCTGGGGAGCTGTGGGCGTAAGCAGCTGCTCTGGGGCCGGGGGACAGGTGTGGTCCTGCCCGGCTCTGCTGCACCCGCCCCATGGCCCTGGCTTTTGGAGACATCTCCTGGGGCTGACAGTGTTGCATCCTCATGACAGGACAGAGCTGGAGAGGCCAACAGACAGGACCCGTCTGGGTAGCAATGGACCCATGGGTGGGTCACCATGGCAACTGGGAAAGTGGCTCCTGGGGCCTGCACCCTGCCCATCTCACCAGGCACCACTGCACCTGATCCCCTAAAGCCCCGTCTGTAGCTGAGGAGGCCTCACCTCCTCCGAGGGGGCAGGCACCCTTGTGGTCACACACCCTCCAGGCGGGACGGGCTTAGGAGCCACTGGGCCGTCCCCATATGGGCTGCTCTCTCTGGGTTCCAGATTGCCAGCATGGGCGGCCCTGCCCCTTGGCAGTCATGCACATGGGTCCTCTGGGGCACAGCCTGGGCCTGTTGACTGGAGCGTGGCTCTGACAAGTCCTGTGTTCGAGCTGCTGGTTGAGGCCTGGCCGACGGTCAGTTGTTGGGCGGGGCTGGCATCCTGGAGGACAGCAGCTCCCTGGGCCTGTCCACTATCTGTCTGTGTCTGTCCTCCCCATTAAGCCTCTGCAGAGCATCTCCGAGGTGAGGAGAGCTGACCACAGCCTGGCTATCCCCCATGGGTGGTGAGGATCTGAGGGCTCAGGGGAACTCAGGCTCGCCAAGTTCCTTCTGGACACCACCGTGATGACTGCCCAGAGATGTCTCCTGGAAATCCTGAGCCCCAGGTCCACAAGTGTCCTGGGCCATGAGGCACAGGCCCCGCAGCCTGTGGTCAGCTGAGTTACCTTGGGACCCTGGGCATCACCACTGCTGCCATCTGGGCGGGAACTTAACCTCTCAGCACCTCAGTTTACTTGTCTATAAAATGGGAAGGTGAAGCCAAGTGCTGTGGCTCATACCTGTAATCCCATCGCCTTGGGAACCGAGGCAGGAGGCTGATGGGGGGTGAGGGGCTGTGGACAGTGTGGGTGGATGATGGGGTGGGGGGCTGTGGACAGTGTACATGGATG